TTCTTTTTTTTTTTTTTTTTTTAAAGAAACCAAAGCAGTGTGTGTAGGTCACATGCATGTTTCTACTAAAGACATCTTTGGCTGGTAGTCAGCTGTTGCTTTGACTTTAGGACTCAAATGTTTGTGAGCATTTCCACCTGTTCCCTGACTCCAGCAGCTGGGGGAGGGGCTGGGGGGAAGAATGTTAGGGCTCTCAGGCTGGCATGGCTTCCAGGCTGCCACTGGCCAGGGCCTGGAGGTTCTTCTCACCTTGAGCTGACTGGTCTGACCTGGGCTTCAAGCCTTGTGTATTCAGTGTTGATCTCCAGGCCTGGAGGTGATGAAGATGTCTTGTTAAAATCCAAGGAAAGAGTAATTTCGAATCAGTCCTTAGTAAAGACCAGATGTCAGGGAGGGAGGTCGATTTAAAAGCCCATTAGCCTTCAGTGCAGTGATAACTATTAACATGCATTTCCTTCCAGCACTTCATGCACATCCATGTATAGTCATCTGTTAGATGACTATGTTAGAGGTAGGGAACTGCAGATGAAGTTTCGCGTCCTACTTTTCTGTTAATGTTATGCCTTCGTTGAGTTTTCTTGGAAAACCAGATTTGTTTAGTGTGTAGACCATTTTTTATCTCACCAGTGCCGTAGCAGGACACTTTCCCACCTTCCCTTTTGATTGACCCAGAGAAGCAGTGTCCTCACTCCTGCCTCATGCCCACACGTGGGCACTCCCCGTCCCTGTGCCATGCCCATGTTGGAGCCACCACTCCCTCTGCCCCCATGTGGAGCACTAGTAGCAGAGGGAGTCCCCCAGGCTGGACTGTGGGGTGGGGGGGCAGGAGAGAGACAACAGAGTTTGTAAGGTGGGAGGTGATCTGGTGAGTATTTATAATTCACTGACTTCTTGTCTGTGTTTTAGAGAAGCTGTGTATTAAAGAAAAGACACATACCTGCCCGTAGAAAAGGCATGTGCCCTCTAAATGTGGGTGTGCACTTGGAGAGCCCACGTGGTGTGCTGTGTGGCCACCTGCATGACCATGGCCCTGGACCACCCAGTATAGGACGCTGACCAGATGGCCTTTAAGGTCCTTGTCAGCTCTGACATTGGTCCTATGGACGTCCCCTTTCATTTGACAAAATGTTCACATTGCCAGAGTTCCCTCGGCCCCTCCCAAGAGGGACATCAGCAGGCTTTCATTGTTCCCTCTCACTGTGTCCCTGCCTCTATTTCATCTTCATTACAACTACCATTTATTGAACACCCACCATGTATCAGGCACTTTACACATTATTTCTAGTTTTTACGGTACTCTTACAAGGTATGCCTATTTTGCTTCTTTCAGAAGAGGAAATTGGCCATGTGAAGTTGAATAAATTGTCTGAGGCCCTGCAGCCAGGGAGTATGTGGCAGAAGCCTCCTCCCCCATGCTGGGGAGAACCATCCAGCAAGTGATGCCCATCATGGTATGGGCTAAGGTAGATGGAAGATGGATGAAGGTCATCCAGGGCCAAATACATGGTCAAATGCCCCGGGTCTAGGGACACAGACAGGCAGGGAAGCTGTGGAAATTTCTAAGGAAAATTCTAAGGGAATTTCCTCACTTTAGCAAACCCTTTGGGAACTTCCCAGGAGTCATGGGAGCACAGCGAGGTGTGACCATAACTAGTGGCCTGTTCAGCGAGGCCTGCAAAAAACCAAACAATCAGCAACAAACTATTTGGGATCCAAACCTTTCTCTGCAGCCCTAAGTGTTTGTGGCAAGTGCAGTTGTTCCCAAATTGCTCTGAGAGCTGCAGTTTCCATCTTTTCCCATGAGGCACCAGTGTTTACTATGGCATTTTAAAATCTGTTTCCTCCTGAGGCCCACTGGTCTTAAATTTTAAGGTCAAAACATTTACATTTCTCTGAAATGGAAAGAAGGTTGAAGAAATGGGTCACCAGGTTTCCATAATAATCGCAGGAAGTGCTGATAGGAGCATGGTGGGGGAAATTCTCAGGGTCACAGTCCCTTGGTTTGGCTACTTCAGCATTTCTGTCCCATTCAGCTGATTGATGGGGGTGAGCAGTGGCTGTTTTGGATGTTTGGTTTTGTGTCCTAATCCAAGGCAGCTTTCGGTTTCCAGAACAACAGTCTTGTGCACTGGACAGCCCCTGGGCCCATCAGCCCCTGCATCTTCCTGCGGCCCCTTCAGAGGATGGAGCACTGGTTGCTATGTGGGTAACAGGCTTTGCCATCAGTGGTAGGAGAGTCACCCAGCCCCACCCCCACTTGCCTGTGAGTCAGCCTCCCTCCGGAGTTGATGTCACTGCTGCTCTGAGGTGGACAAACATTGAGCAAGGTTGTTTATCTGCACAGATTTGGGTGGTGATTTCTCCCTGCAAGGATTTCAGATACCATTAAGCTTCTGTTGCAACTGAGAAGCAAAGGGAATGCATCCCAGCTGCTCTGTTCTTCAGGAGCCAGGCAGGAAGAGGGGCCGGAGAAGGTGGAAAGTGGCTTCGTGAGCCCATCTGCTCCCCCAGTCCAGTGGGAGGGGATCAGGAGAGGTGGGAGTAGAAGAAAATCTGTCAAATATTGATACTCATTATTTCCCTTTAAAAAAATGAATAGCTTGAAAAAACCTACAAATGCAATCCACGTTTATTATAGAAGCTTTAGAAATGCAGAAAAGTATTAAGTAAAAATCACTCACAATCTCACCATCTAAAGATAATCTGCTTTAATGTTTTGTAATATTTTTTTGGCCAGATTTTTATATATATACCCATTTTCTAAGAAAATTCAAATGATTATGTTTGTGAAGTTTTATATTTATTAAATTTAACAGCCTGTTGTATTTTTTCATGCTATTAAATATTCTTTGAAATAAGATTTCTTTAGTGGTCACGTAATAAACCCCCTCAGATGGATATATCATAGGACAGAGGGTTTCCAGGAGACAGTGATAGGGAGAGCTGGCCCTAGTGACAGCTCAGCCGTCCCTGCCCAGCATGTTGGTAGGGACAGTCAGATCCATCAAGGGTTATCTGAAGTCTTCCCAGCCCCTTTGGGCTGCACTGGATTCTGTATGCTGCTATTGTGTATATACACTGCTCAGGACAGCACAGTGACCTTGGGGACAGACCTCCCTCCTGTGTATTCCCTTCAGCCTGAGTCTTCCCGTGGGTCTTGCCTCAGCTGTACTTTCCCACCACACACACACACACACAGGCTCGCCCCACGTGGTCTCAATTCTAAACTCATGACTCTCATCTTTCTCCCTGCACCCCAGACCCAGGCACTCAGCCACCTCCTAGTTACTTCTCCCTTTTAACCCATAGACACCCAGGTTCCTGCACCAAATTCACAGTCTTCCCTGAGGTGACCTCCTGCCTCCCCCACCTTCCTCTGCGCCTAGCCTCATCCTGTACTCTGTTTTATTCCCACATCTGGTCCTACCTGTTTCCTTCCTGACCCTTTGTGGATTCTGTCCCCTCACTTGCATCCACCCTGCTGACGCCTTCAGGGGAGTCCCCATCCCTCCTCTACCCTCTTCCAGTCAGTGGCCAGACTGACATTTCTAAACACAGATCTGTCTGCCACGCTATCCTTGGTGGGGTGGAGGGCGCCGTGTACCTCCTTAACATGGCACAGCGGACCCTTCACACCTCCACAGCCCCACCTGGCAGTGCCAGGCCCTGACGGGAGTTTTCTTCGTGCCCTTCCCTCCCACCTGGAAAATTCTGTGTCCGTCAGACAATGTTATCTTCCCTAGAAAACATTCCTGATCTCAGGTTTAGTCTCTTCTTTGTGCTTCTGCACCACCTGGTGAACACCGGGGTCATAAAATTTATTACATCAGATGGTTTTTTCTTTGTTTTTAAGGATAAAAGTGTATCTTCTATTCATCTTATCCCCAGAGCCCAGCACGGCCGTTGGCACATACTAGGTGCTCAACAGATGTTGATTGAATGAATGAGCGTGCTGACAGTTTGGAGGGGCCCTGATTTTTCTAGTTGGGTGTTTTGCCTCCTGTGGTCTGGATCTGCTAAGGCCAGTCTCTCTTGAGGCCATTGCAACCTCAGTAGTGGCTCATGGGGACTGTTGTTTTTACAGCAGTCATTTGACACAGTGTCCTGCTGGCCTCTAGCCACCCCCTCAGTCCTCTTCTGCCTTTGCCTCCCAGGGAATTGGAATGAGACCTCCCGTGTTTATTTTCCCAGGCACTTCTGGAGGCAGGGCCATGCTCACGTTCATGGCCTCTGACAGCGAGGAAGAAGTGTGCAACGAGCGGACGTCCCTGATGTCAGCCGAGAGCCCGGTACCTCGCTCCTGCCAAGAAGGCAGGCAGGGCCCGGAAGACGGAGAGAATGCTGCCCAGTGGGTAGGTTCCCACCAGCGGGCTGAGACCTCGAAACAGGCCCCTGGGGTTCCTGTACCTAATGGATGGAAACCAGACATTCCCAGGTGCGGGAGGGAGGGGAAAGTAAAAGTGAGAATTGTCCATGAAGGTGGGTGGTTGCCATGCCAGGCCTCATGCCTGTGAGGGCTCTATCGTAGACTCTGCACATTCCCAGACTGTTAAAGTTTGCAGTGGACTGAGTCTCTGCACCCCAGTCCCTGCCCCCGCATATTCACCTTCCAAGTGCAGGAAGGTGAAAGTGAGTTTGGATGCTGGCACAGGTAACACAGGCTCAAGGATGGCAGGAGGAAAACTGCTGGAGGGCAACCTGTTTGGCAGATGGCAGACGGGTGACCGAGAGATGGCCATACCTGAGTCACGTTCCACTTTTGAGCTGGGGGTGTGTCTTATTCCATTCTGGCTGCTATAACAAAACTACCATTGACTGGGTGGCTTATAGACACAAAAATTTAATTCTCACTGTTCTGGAGATTGGAAGCCCAAGATCAAGGTGCCAGCAGATCTGGTGTCTGGTGAGGGCCCGCTTCCTGGTTCATAGGCAGCTGTCTTCTTTGTGTCCCCTTGTGGTAGGAGGGGTGAAGAAGCTCTCTGTGGTCCCTTTTATAAAGGCACTAATCCTATTCTTGAGGGCTACACTCCAGTGACCTAATCACCTCCCAAATGCCCCACCTCCTAATACCATCACATTGGGGTCAGGCTTCAACAGATGAGTTTCAGAGGGGCAGACATTCAGTTCATAGCAGGAAGGGTGGGCTGCACTGTGATCTTATCTCTGTAGCCTGCGGGGAAGGAGATTATAACTTTATGAATGGGGCAATGTAGGAGTCACCTAGCCAAGCCACCTCCTTCCCCTTCAGGGCAAAACAATGTCTGAATTTACCTGAATCTCGTTTATTCTGCCCATTATAGTATTTAAAACCTTCCCATTTGGAATTTTTTCTTCCAGCTAGACCTAACATCCGCTTGCTGAAACTGGAGCTCATTTCTTGTCTTCCTCTGTGCCCTGAGCAAGATCGCACCAGCTCAAGGCCACCGCTCAGCCACTCAGCCTTTTCTTGCTACTTTCTTCATCTTTTATCTCCTGGAGTTTTTGCGCATTTTAGTTGTTTCGGTTCCTGTTCATTGAGTTTTTTTCTTTTCCTTCGCAGCTGAGTATCTAGATTGGAATCTCTGCAGAGTGCCAATACTGAAGCAATAGTCATTTTTGATTTTTGTTTCTTTTGGCTTTGTCTTTGGCTGTTGATGTAATTACCAAGATAGCTAATGACCCTGAGTTGCCACAATTCCAAAACAAATTCTTGCGGACTCATTTGTGCCTGCATCTAGCAGGTGTCCAGCCCCCCCCGCCCCCCCAGCTGCTTACTCACTTGTACTTTCCCAGCTTCCCATAGTCGACGTTGTCCCAGATGCTTCACTCCTGGTTAGCCTCTCTGGCTCAGAGCTGCAGATTTGCATGCTTGATTTTGGGGGGCAAAAGTTCAAAGTAATTTCTCCCTCTCCAAATTCCCAGTGTCTTATTTATAATCAAAGAAAGTCCCTATGTGTGCTGACCACTCTAGTTTGTGACTTGTCAACCAAAAATGTTTACTTTCTGGTTTCCTCCTATCCCCTGGCCTTACTCTGCCCGAATCAGTGTGGCTGTGTGGACAGAGCTGAGTGGCATCCTGAGTCCCTGTACTGACGTTAGGTGAGAGCTCTTTAGATGTGCTCCAAACCCATTAGCATTAAGCCAGGGGCCTGCAGACCGCCCTCTTCTGTGGCTACCTTGGCCTCCCTTCCTGCATCTGCGGTGGTTAGTACCAACTCTATGTCTTCTCCAGTTGTCCTCATAATTTTCCAAATGTCCTGGGATTTCCAACACCCCCTCATCTAAACTACAGCCTGTAGACTGGTCTTTATATCTGGAAAGCAACAAACTTCTCTTTTCCTCTTTCAATAACCATGTGCTGCGTCATAGGCCACCCTTGGGGGGCATTCTGTGGCCCTCACAGTGTGGCTTTCCACAGAGAAGCCAGGACCACGAGGAGGAAGACCCTGACCGCTACGTCTCCAGTGGGGTCCCCGGGCGGCTGCCAGGCCTGGAGGAAGAGCTGACCCTCAAATACGGGGCGAAGCACGTGATCATGCTGTTTGTGCCTGTCACACTGTGCATGATCGTGGTGGTGGCCACCATCAAGTCCGTGCGCTTCTACACGGAAAAGAACGGACAGCTGTGAGTTGGGGACCCTGGCAGGGTGGGGAGCGGGGCTGGGTCGGGGGGTTGTGGCCTCCACCAGCCACTGCACCTGCATCTCCATGCCAGTGGCAGTAAGGAGCAGGGATGAAGGGTCCACCCCCTGGCCTTGGGCCCAGTCATCAGGCTGAGGTCAGGAGACCAGGAGATGGGTTGGAAGGCAGGGCAGCTGGTGGAGATGACCAACAGCACTCCACCAGGGCAGGTGTTCCCAGGGCATCTTTGCCAGTGGTCCAAGGCTCCTTTAGGGTGGGGGACACACAGAACAGGCAGGGAGTAAACACTGAGGCCCTTGCCTTCTCCCTTAGCATCTACACGCCGTTCACCGAAGACACACCCTCGGTGGGCCAGCGTCTCCTCAACTCTGTGCTCAACACTCTCATCATGATCAGTGTCATCGTGGTCATGACCATCTTCCTGGTCGTGCTCTACAAGTACCGCTGCTACAAGGTGAGCAGGAGCCCTGCCCTCCATCTTCCTGTCCCTGCTCCTGCCTGCCTACCATGCGACCAGGTGGTGACTCTTATGCAGCAGCCATTGGCTTTAAAAAAAAAAAAAAGAATCAGAGTTCCTTTTTTCCTGCAAAATAGACTCTGATATTTTGTGCTCTTACCACCGCTCTCCTGCCCCTACCATGGATTACCCAGTGCTCTTGTCTTTTGAATATACACATATCCCATTTAATTGAGTTCCTCCTTGAAACTTTCAAATGTTACTTCTCATATTCAAATTTAATTTTATTTTGCTTCTCCTTCTGAAGAAGTGAGATGTTCTATTTCAGGCTCCCTTCACCCCATACTTCCCCTCCAGGCTTATTTTTATTTTCCCATTTCCCTTTAGGCCAGGGATGTACAGATGCTGTGCTGGGTGGCCCCCTGTAGCTGTGGAGTGGCCCCAGGGGGTGGTAGAGAGTGGCGTCCACCTGGCCCAAATCGTGGGCATTGCCCCCAGAGATGCCATAAGCTTTTAGATGTGAATTTCAGGCTTTTTTCCCGAGGAGGGCTTTGAAGCCCTGAGGACTAGAAGGAAGTTAAACTACACATCAGCTAACTTAAAACCGTTCACGCACAGGTGAGTGTAGCATGTTGTATCCAGGCTGCCATCGTCTGTGGAGCAGGTGGAGGGAGATGAAGAGGCTCAGTCTAAGGAGATGAGCCCCCTCCCAGCTGTGGGGAGAAAGGGGGAAGTGAGTGATGGTCGGGGCTGTCAGGAAGTGTGTGGGAGCTGAAGCTTATCAGTAAATAATTACCTGTGTAAATGAACCTGAGTTTTAAGGTGGGGTGCCGAGGGAGTTGGATGGTGGAAGCAGGTTAGAAGGCTGCTTGTTCAGAGCAGAGGATACAGCCCAAGTGGAAACCAGCTAGGAGCACGGAGAGTGCTGCTGTGGTCAGTAGGAGTCAGGTGACCAATCCCAGGGACCATTCAGTAAGGTTTACTTGCAGGTCCCATGACACTCAGGTGATAGCAGTGACCTTGGGTGGGCAGGGGTGGCTGTGAGAAAGTGTCAGCATATTCCAGAGGCAGCCACACACATCCTGACCAAGGCCACCAGTTCCACTCCTGGTAGAACAGGTCTCCCCTGAGATCCCCAGTGTCCCCAGCTGGGCCTGTCTTCAGGGTGGGGAGACTAGAAGGAGTGTCACTGCTGTGCTACTGATGGCTGCCAAGGGACTGGCTTTAGGAACAGCCCTACCCTCATCCTTGACCCTCCCGAGCTTGGCCAGGAGAAGAGGAACATTTGTAGACTCGGGTGGGAAGGGACTCCCTGGGCACCATGTGATCATTCCACCTGTTTCTTCGTCTAGTTTATCCACGGCTGGTTGATCATGTCCTCTCTGATGCTGCTCTTCCTCTTCACCTATATCTACCTCGGGTAAGTGGCAGCTGGCGAGCACAGGGTCCTCGGGGCCCCTCCCCCTGTGGCACGAGCGGCTATGAAGGACCTGGGTGGGGAAGGGCACCCCTTGGGTTCCACACCCTCCCCAGTGTCTCTGCTCCAAGGGCCTGGGTCCCTCTTCCCACAGGCCTTTTGACACAGGAGTGGGCTCCATGGTGGGCCACGCCTCTCTTTCTGCTTCCTAATTTAAAACAAACAGAGCCATCATGGACGAGGCTCTCTGTGAACCCAAGGATGGTAGAACCCCTCAGAATTTACATTCTAATCTTTGGGCTGGCTGGGCCTGGGTTCTTCCTAGTTTGTGGCAAAAGGAATCTCTGTTGCCCTTGATTTGGGATATCAGCCTGACCCAGGGGCCCAAAGAAATAGGAGGACAGGAGAAAACTCTTCTCCAGGGACCTTCTCCCGGGGCTCAGATCCTTCTGGGTTGTCCCAGTGCTCACTTATGTGAACCACCCAAGAATGAGACATCGGTTTACTCCCCACCTTGTTCTAGAAACTATTTCCAGCGATGAGCTATAGGACTCATGGAAATAGGGAAGGGGATATTAGTCAGTGACACCAGAAGTTGGAAAAACCCAGGCTGGGGCTTAATGGTTGAGGAGCAGAGGCTGTTGAATGAGTCAGGGTCTAACCTCTCCTCTGAGTACCTTCCGCGCCCCGTGGGCTCTACTTCGGTCCTGCAGGGAAGTGCTCAAGACCTACAACGTGGCCATGGACTACCCCACCCTGTTCCTGATCGTCTGGAACTTCGGGGCGGTGGGCATGGTGTGCATCCATTGGAAGGGTCCCCTGGTGCTGCAGCAGGCCTACCTCATCATGATCAGCGCGCTCATGGCCTTGGTGTTCATCAAGTACCTCCCGGAATGGTCTGCGTGGGTCATCCTGGGCGCCATCTCTGTGTATGGTAAGGGGGCACAGATGGGCCGAGAGCCTGGTGGTGGGCAGCGGGGTCAGCATCCAGGGCCACGTCCTCACTGCTGCACACATGTGGCAGGTGCTCAGAAGGTCCCCTCCTCTCTCCTTGCGGGGCCTGGGTGGTCTCCCTTCTGAGAGATTCACCTTCATAAAACATGTGGTGTGCCGTAGACACAGCTATTGATGTGGTTTATTAATAGCAAATGTTTACTGAGCTCTCACACTGTTAAGCACTTGACACACTGTCCATTGTTGGGCACGGATTGGGCACAGTCCCTCGACATAATGAACATCCAAAGCGTTAGCCGCTATTTCATTAGTGTTAGTGTGAGTACCATCACCAGTCCTGTTTCTTCCATTTTAGGGCCTGGAGAAGTGGGACCTCAAGTTCATTCTCTTCCTTGTTTGCAGTTAGCCCTCTTAGACCCCGCTCTGGGCTCCAGCCAGAGCAGACTCTGGAGACTGGCTGGGGACCCATGGGTTTAGTGATAGGATGGCAGGGCCCATCCTGAGGGCCTCACAGTCACGACTCTGGGACACGCTCACCTCCTACACACTATTGTTAGAGGGCTGGCTCCTCTCTCTGGGGGTTGCTTGGGAATAAATGTCTGTCTTAACTTTGTTTTCCCAGATCTCATGGCTGTGCTATGCCCCAAAGGGCCGCTGAGGATGCTGGTGGAGACTGCCCAGGAGAGAAACGAGCCCATATTTCCTGCCCTGATATACTCATGTGAGTGGTCCCCATGCCTCCTCCCAACGTGGGGTCAGAAGCGCCCAAGGTGGGAGCCAGGGGCAGCTTCCTGGCCGTGGCTTTCAGAGTTGTCTAGGAGATTGTTACCCTTTCCCTGACTAAAGGGAGGAGGAGGCAGCCGTGGTGATCCCAGGAGGGTCTCCACCTTCTAGAGACGACAGCAGACAGTGTCTTGCTGTCACACACAGGATGAAGCTTGGAAATTTAGAGCAGTAGGGGCCCCACAGCTGCATCCCATCTGCTTCCAGTGACAGGCGTGTGGTGGGTTAAGACCACATTCCAAGAGCCCATGGTCCCCCCCTCAGCCCTCCAGGGGGAAGGGGCTTTAGAGAGGGGCTCTCCAGGGCAGGGGTCTGGGGAAGCAGGGTGCATCTGCCCTTCACTGGGCTTCCTCCACAGCTGCATGGCTGGTTGAAGTTAAGTCTCTGAAGGGAAGGTGCGTGGGATGCTCCTGGGCTCAGGCCAGGGTGTAGGGGTTTGATTTATGTATGCACGTAACAAATGTGTGTCAGGTCCCCACTTTGTGGCAGGCATTGTGCTGAGTATTGGAGAGGCAACTGGAGACAAGGCCCACATGGGCCGGGCCCCCAAGAGCTCACGGCCCTGTGGTTTTAATGCCCTCCTGTCTGTTGCTGGTGGCACTAATTTAAGTAGAGAGCTTGAATCTCCACAGCTCAGCTGTCTGCAGGGTGCACTGGAAAAATGTTTGTGGAACAGCTATAGAGTTCTGGATAATCTCTAACAAATGAAGATTCGAGTGTGGAAGCACATTCCAGGCATGTTCCAAGGATGAGCTGAGACCCCTGTTGAGCTTACGTTCTAGCGGGGGAGACAGACAGTAACTAACCAGACAGATACTTAAGTCAGGAGGTGAGTGCTCTGTGGAAGGAGAAAGCAAGGGAAGGGACCTGAGGACTTCAGGGTAGTGGGAGAATGCTATTTTGCATAAGGTAGTCAAGGAAGCCCTTTGTCATAAGGTGGCATTTTCCTGCCTTAGGAAAACCTGGGGACAGAATTCTAGGCAGAAGGAACAGTAGCAAGTGCAAAGGCCCTGGAATGGGTGTTGGCCTGGTGTGCCCAGGGAGTTCCCCAGGGCCAGGCAGGTGGGGGGAAGGGAGGAGAGGGGAGGTCCAGATCCCGGGAGGCCCTGCAGGCTGTGGGGAGGACTCGGCTTTTACTCCTGAGTGAGATGTGATGCCACTGGAAGGTTTAGGACTGACCTGAGTTGACATTTTAACAGGACCTCACAGATTGCTGAGTGGAGAGCAAGTGTATGGGGTTCAAGAATGGAAGCAGGAGCCAGATTTGGAGACTGAGTAACAACCCAGGAGAGAGGGGATGGGGTTTGGCCCGGGCCAGCAGTAGAGGTGTTAGGATGCGGTTGGATTCTGGAGGCATTTTAGAGGCAGAATTGGCAAGATTGGCTGATGGTGGGATATGATGTGAGAGAGCCAGGGATGATGTCAGAGCTTTAGGCCTGAGCAACAGAAAGGATGGAATTGGCAGTTGTCGAGGGCATATTGAGTTTGAGACGCTCACTGGACATTCAGCTGGAGAGATGGTACAGGAGTTCAAGACAGTTTCCAGGCCAGAAAGAGAAAACAGTCAGTACCATGCGATCCTGCAGTTCCACCGCTGGACAGGTAAATACCCAAGAGGACTGAAAGCAGGGTCTTGGACATATTTTTGTACAACCATGTTTGCAGCAGCACTATCACAGTAGCCAAGAGAGAAGCAACCCAAGTGTCTGTCGATGGATGGACGGGTAAACAAAATGTGGTGTGGATAGGTACACAGCAGAATGCTGTTCAGCCTTGAAAAAGAAATTCCCACACATGCTACATGGATGAACCTTGAGGGAAAACGTTCTGGAGATCTGTTTCACAACAATGTGAATATACTTAACACTATTCGACTGCATGCTCAAAATGGTTAAGATGATGCGTTTTATGTTACATGTGTTTTACCACAATAAAAAACAGTTTCCCAAACTGTTCACTGACATTATTACTACTGTTTTCATGAGGAGGCAAAAAAAAAAGACAGGAAGAGGCATTGTCCACCCGCACCTGGTCAGTGAGTCTGGACCGTGCCCCCAGTGGCCCCCTAACAATGTGGCGTAAGCAGATACCATGGAACTGAGGGTCCTGTGCAGGCTCTTGGGGACAATGGGGCATAAGCAGATACCACGGAACTGAGGGTCCTGTGCAGGCTCCTGGGGACGCAGGTCGGCCCACCTGCCTCTCAGGCCCAGGCAGCCAGTTAGCCCCGCCTGAGGGTGATCTTTTTCTCCCCCAGCTGCCATGGTGTGGACGGTGGGCATGGCCAAGCTGGACCCCTCCTCTCAGGGAGCCCTTCAGCTCCCCTACGACCCAGAGATGGGTAAGTGCGGGGGGCTGGTAGCTTCTCGTCACGAGGCAGCTCCTCCTGCACCCAGCTGAGCCTGCCTGGCCTCTCTGGGAGACACGCGGTCTGGGTGGGCAGAAGGGAGAACCAGCCCTCCTGGCATCTTGGGGACTGAGTGAGGGCGGGACTGCGGTCCTTTGCCCCAGCCCCGTTCCTCTTGCGTGGTCTGGAGACTGTGTCAGGGCTGGTGGGGGGGCAGGGACGCCTGAGCGCAGGGGAATCCTCTCACTGGACTGCTCCTTTCTCCTTTGTCGTCTCCCCACCCCCATGGTGATGACGGCCATCTCCTCTCACTGGACACCCAGAAGAAGACTCCTATGACAGTTTGGGGGAGCCCACGTACCCTGAAGTCTTTGAGCCGCCCCTGCCTGGCTACCCCGGGGAGGAGCTGGAGGAAGAGGAGGAAAGTAAGGTGCCCGTGTCCAGATGGTCTGTGTGGGCCTGGGGCAGAGGGTGGGCGGGGGTGCAAATGGGGCTCCCTGCAGTCCGGGGAGGAGGGCATGAGCCAAGGAGAAACGCGCAGAGGTAGGGTGTGGTGGCAGGTCTCGGTGGCAGGCCGTGGGGACTTTCACATTCAGGCTAAAGTGCGTATTTAGCAACGTTCACTGAGCACCAGCTGTGTGCCTGCCCGGTACTGGGGGCGCCTGGCTCTGCTGGGACTCCCATCTTGGGGGTGGGCACTGATCAAACACTCCGAGTCGGGGGGACTGTGCAGGAGAACACGGGATGCGGGGTATCAGTGGGGCCCTTGACCAGGTGTCGGGGGTCAGAGAGAGTTACCTGAGGAGGAACTTCTGAGCCCCCAGAGGTTCAGCCACAGCTGGGGATAGACACTGCCTTGACCAGGGAGAGGGACACCCCTTGTTTGGAGCCTGGAAGGGAGGAGGGTGTGGGAGAAGAGGAAGGCAGTTTTCCTTGATGCAGGCCTAGTCAAGTTTATTATATAAATGTTTTTATTGTCTGTGGTGAGCAAAATTACCCTATACAAGTGTCCAGGGGCAGTGGTATTAAGGGAAACAAACATGAAGGAGTTCTAGAAGCTCTCATTTACTTTTCAGTAATGATAAGCCAATTGCAAATGTTTGTTTATTTTTAAGGGGAAAGGGTCTCTAGAGGACCTCTAGGTGTTGTACCTGTTCTTACAAGTAGTGGAATTAAATTGCCTGAAAGAGACTTACAATTCAAACTCAGCACTAAGTTGTATGACCTCCCAGCATCCCCGGACAATGCAGTTTGTTTGATTTTTTATTAAAATAAGTGACAAGTATCAGTTTTACCTGAGTTATCTACCAGACATGTCAGCATTCACAGCCCAGATTGCAAGTCACCCAGTCCACGGTTTCCCCCTTTTCCCGCTGCCTGTTTTTCCGAGGCAGCCACTCCTTCTCCCAGAGTCGGTGAGGTGGGCTGGGTGGTGAAACTATCTTGTCTGGCCCCCTGAGTGCCCCAGGACTGTGTCTCCTGGGTCCCTGGCTGTCTGGCTGCTGTCCACCTCCTCTGCCGCTCCCTCTTGGGGCTTCTGAGATGATGGACTGAATCTGTCTTCCCCACACAGGGGGCGTGAAGCTCGGCCTCGGAGACTTCATCTTCTACAGTGTGCTGGTGGGCAAGGCGGCGGCCACGGGCAGTGGGGACTGGAACACCACGCTGGCCTGCTTTGTGGCCATCCTCATCGTAAGTGGGCAGTGGGGGCCCTGGGGGTGTTCACAGGGGCGCCCAGGGGAATTTTCAGATGCTGTGGTCCTTGGGAGGGGCAGAAGTGATGGGGGCGGAGCAGAGTTGCCAAGATCCTCAACGTGAGACCGAGGTGTACAGGAGGTTCTGGGCAGCAACAAGATGCAGTGACGGTGCAGGGGAGGGGTGACCGAGGGGCTCTGATGCCACTGAGCACGTACGCCAGGGTGGCAAGGGCTTGGCCAGTTTTGTGCGCCTGTGTCACGACACCGATTTATGGAAGAGAAAATAGGTTGAGGGCTTTGCCTGTGGGCACAACGCTGTGATTTGAACTCAGGTCTCTGACTCTAAGGCTGGGTGTGTTCACATGCTGCCATCAGGTTCTATGTGTCACCACTGTAGCCAGACAGGGAAGGCAGTCAGGTGGAGGCGGCACCACGTACGAGTCAGGAGGCCACTTTCTGGTTCACCCGTTAACGTGTAGGGCGTTAGGACGGGGGTGAGAACTCTGGCTCTCGGGCCCCTCACGGAGCTGCTGAAAGGACCGGGGAAGGTGATGGGCATCCAGGGCTACTGTCCAACACGTCCTTGACAAGCTCCTGATCCCGGGGCCCAGGCCATCGCTAACTGCTCCCCTCCCCTTGGCGTCCTGCAGGGTTTGTGTCTGACCCTCCTGCTGCTCGCGGTGTTCAAGAAAGCGCTGCCCGCCCTTCCCATCTCCATCACGTTCGGGCTCATCTTCTACTTCTCCACAGACAACCTGGTGCGCCCTTTCATGGACACCTTGGCCTCCCATCAGCTCTACATCTGAGGGGACGCGTGGGCTCTGTGGCTGGACGCTGTAGGAAACTAACTGGATGCAGTTGTATAGTTTTACCACTCTAGTGCCATATATTTTTAAGATTTTTCTTTCTTTAGGAAAAAATAAACGAGAGTAAAAAAAAGTACTGTGTTTACTTTGTGAAGAACCAGCTTTTTGGTGCTAGTTTTGTCACCAGACCATGGCTCACCCCTTCATGAGCACTCGCTTCACTGACAGGAAGGACAGGAACTTGGTCCAGATGAACAAGGAAGGGTATGTGATGGGGGAGGCGCATGGAGAAGGTGACCAGGCGGCTCATAGCCTGGAATGTTCCAAAGGCCAAGATGAAGGAAGGTGTGTGCATATAACAGGACCAGGAGCTCATGCCCAGGAGGCACCAAGCACCTGGTCACTGGCTGGAGGAGAAAAGCCAATTTCTCTGCAAGGAATGTTCCCAGTGCTTTGTCTATGATGTCGTTATTTTATTACCTTTAGAAACCAAGTCCTAATCTTGTTACAGCAGTTCCGCTGGGAAGTGGCTTAATATTAATATCAATAAAAAGATGAATCCCGTCGGAATATTGGAGTTTGGTCTGTTTGTCAGTGTCCGCTTCATCCCTGCATCTCAAGGCCACTCCTGGGATAAAGGGTCTCTGGGCACGGAAAGGAGATCGCTCAGTTATGAAGGAGTGAGGCTTAACTGCTCCCCTGCCCCCATCTCTGATCATTTCTTTAACCAGAAAGTTCCCTAAGCAAAGGTGTGTAGAGAGCCACGAGGCCTGGTGGCTGACAGCTTGGAGGTGTGACATGCTGCCAGTGCTGAGCACATGGCTTTTGCTGGCTTCAACTGTGCATGTCGCCAGAAGCCCTGCAAGGCGGTTGCCAAAACATAGAGCAAGTGTCCTTGACGGATACTAGCGTGCAGTGGGGCCAAGGTAAGAGCTCGTGTTCAGAAGCTCACCTTCCTTTCCTTCTATGGCCATCTCGGCACGGGGTGGGGATATGGACAGGCTGGTTTTTCCTTTTTTCTAGAGCATTCACGGGTGGCAAGGAGAATCTCTTGGAATGAACTTGAGCCCCTTGAAGCAGCAGAGCAGGCCTCCAGGCTCACTGGGAGCACAGCTGTCAGACCACTGAGGAAATGCAGGTACTGTGTGTGCTCTTCAGACTGGCGGCTCTTCTTGTTCCAGAAATAATGTGAGTGCTGTGAAGCCGGCCATTTGTCATGAGAGGAACAGGAGTCTTCTTTCCCTTGGGCTGTTTGTAGAAAGCAGAGGCAACGTGAGAGGCCGGAGGCCCAACGTGGGTTGGCCTGGTGGTGGCATTTCTGAGCGCTGGGCAGTTGGAATCAGAGCTCTGACCGGCTGTAACAGACACCCAGGGTGGCCATGCCTTTGAATCTTCTTGAGGAGATCCTCCCCTACTCTGGAGGTTTTCTAAAAGCTTAAATTTTTATTTTTACATTAAGACTTTAAATCCATCTGAAATTTATTTTTATGTACTTGGCCTGGGCTCTGTGCACCGAGGGTAGTTTGGAGGGGCTGGCACCACAGACAGAGACCCTTCTGGGCATGATCTGCTCTGAATTCAGGAGGAAATTGATTTATTTATACCAGGGAATTTACTATGTGCTTGGTGTATGTGGAGATACAGAAGTGGAAGGGGCTTGGGGTCACTGAAAGAAGTTTCCAGAAGCACAAATCAGATCCTAGAGGGCTGCAGTAGCAAAACAAACAGCAAAATGGAGCTGGTCAGAGCCATCTGTGTGTGCATGAGGACTCGGACAGGGTACCTGAGGGGCATAAGGAACCTTTCCCGGCTCCAGAAGGCCACGCTGCAGAATGCAGGGGGACTTAATTTGCACCATGTATCCAGGTATGAAAAAAGTATATAAGACAATCCACATAACACAAAGTCTTCGGGGCCCTCACTAATTTTCATGAGTGTAAAGGGGTCCTGAGACCAAAAGGTTGGAGGACTGCTGCCCCCCAGGAAGGCTGCTGCTTTCATCTCAACTGTCCTTAACCACCTGGCCCCTCCAAGGGACTCCATTTGCCTTGAATTTCTCCTTCTGTTAGCTCTGAGCCCCGATGGCCACATGAGGGCAGCAGATTCTGCCAGGAGCCACCACGGGGACCTCAATCCCAGGCTTTCATAGTTTCTCCAGCATCCAGTTCCTATCTATCGGGCCTCTGGCCCGAGGTGCTGGAGAAGCAAAGATGATAACCCCAGTTCCTGGCCTGATGGAGGCTCAGGCCCGAGTGCTCCTCCCAGTGAGCCAAGGAGCCAGAAGACGACCGGGATTTTGATCCAGTCCAGAGCCTAACCACACGGCAGGGGTTGATGTGCTCAGTGAATGAACATCAACGGGATGTAGTTAAGAGCTGGGCTGAGAAGCCCGTTTTCCAGAACCTCAGCTTCAGTCTGGAAGTGTTTGTTCTTGTTGCCATTGTCTGTGAGGAAAGAGTCCCCTGTACTCTTTACTGTGTTGACGTAAGAAACGTCCAGACTCTTTTTATAAGAGTTCATTGGAGCCAAACTGACGACCATTGCTGGGAAGCAAAGATCTCAAGTGCTCCAGACAGTGACAGTTTTAGTTTCTTTAATGCATTTGGAATTAAGGAGGGAATTTCAGGAAGATTACATGAAAGTGGGAGAAAGCAAGGCGGAGATTGAATTATAGGATAGTTAACAAGATTATGTGTTCTCTTAAGGGCGATTATGCTTATTTCAAAGGCGTGTTAACCTAGATGCACAGAAACAATGGACAGGGCTAGCTTAAGGCAAAGATAAGTTATATGCCTGGGGTGTGACTACCACCATGACCAGCCCATTTTCGCCCACAACTATTAGCAGCCTGTAATTACCATGCAGTAAAGTGGTCAGGCAAGGACTTCCACCTACCTTCTAGCTTGTCTTGGATAAATATGAAGGTAAAGGGCACATGTGAAGTTTTACCCCAAACTAGGACCTCCTTTTCATGGACATCTCTAGCAATGGAAAAGAGAGCCTTGTGGTCTTTTAATACAAAGATAGTCTCCCACTTCCTTATCTAGTGGTTTTAGTGACCCTCTCCTAAAAACCTTAAAGCAACCTGGCATGTATAACTAGCTTGAACCCTTGTCAGTAGAAAGGGCATGAGATCTAAATTCGCAAGACAAGGCTTCAGGTCCCAAGTCTCCTGGATCCTGGTCTGTGCTCTTTCCCTCTTGTTGGTTCCCCCCCACAAATATTCATCATCATGTTAAGTCAGTCCGATCATACACAAAATATTAGCAGTCTATGCTAAAGTATGGCCTAGTAGTTAAGAGCAGGGCTTTGAAGGAGCAGGCAAGGTTACATTCCTGGTTCCACCATGTGTTAGCTGTGTAACCTTGAGTAAGTTGCTTAATCTGTGTCTCAGTTTTCTCAACTGTAAAAAGGTGATGATGATAATGTCATAGGGTTGCTGTGAGAATCCTTTAACATTAGGTATTTAAAGTGCTCAGTTAAGTGCTAGCTTATGGTAAATGCTCAATAAACAGTAGCTGTAAACATCACCACATTTAAAATTCACAACTTTTTCAGATGTCAGAGTCAAGAAGAATCTCCGAAGTATTCAATGTTTTCTAAAACGTATTCCGAGTAGTCCCTTGCCTCAAGATAGATCCGGTCCTTCAATTATCCCAGCATTTTTCAAACAGATTTGATGGCAGAACCCTTTTCTCACATCACCTTTTAACTTCCAGGTTGCTAGTGTTGGCACAACACATCCTTTCTATAGTCCCGTGCAGAAATCTGATCTCTGGTTCCTGCCATAAATGATCATGCAGCCTCAGCTAGAACATCAGGTGATCACCGTGGACAATCGTCTCTAAGAGATAACATTGATGGAGAGTTTGCCATGTGCCAGGTGCTATGATAAGCACTCGGCATCATTATCGTATTTAATTCTTGTAAAAGCACTAAGAGTTGTTATCTCCTTTCACAGGTGTAGAAACAGCCTTAGAAGAACTAAGTAACTTGCTGCAGGTCACATGGCTAGAAAGCACCAGAATGCAAGCTCAGGTTGGCCTGCCTCTGGAATCCAGCCTTCCCCGCCACCCTGTGCTGCTTCCTGCAGCTACTATGTCACGTCTAACTACTGGAAAGCCCTTCCTGGTACTGAGCTGGAATCCGTTTCTAGTCACTCACCTTCCTCCCTGGTGCACACACATTAGTCATTAGTTTCCGTTCTAATGTCCTCTGCCATTGTTTCTAGAACTTGCTCCATTGGACTTCTTTTTCTCTTGACTTGCTCAAGTACTTCAGCATCCCCTTGGGCTGAAATACTCAAAGCTGAACACAATTTTGTCTACTCTGCTGTAGTATAGTAATTGTACATTATCAAAAACAACTTTTTTAAAAAGAGTTCTTTTCTAATATAAGAATTTTTTTTAGACGAGGTTAGGGAAAAGAAAGTTTTAGATGTGCAATAACAAAGTTATTTGTTTCTGCAGGAATTTTATAACAAAGCTGTTTTTCAAAGCTCTAGTAGTATTGCTATAACACCTTAAACATCACGCGCTTACCTCTGGCTTTTGCTCAAGGGTGATAGTCAATCTCTCTCTCCCCTCCTCCCCCCTCCCTCCCTCTCTCTGACTCCTCCCTCCCTCTCCACAGGAGCACCATGTTAACACAATTTCTCACCAGTCTCACCACCTTTGTTACCCGTATGACTCATTGTTTAGTAGCTGGGCTGTTCATAACAGTTTTTCTTCCACACTCCGTGCTAGTTTCCAGTTGAGATAATCTCATAACCAATAGCAGTTGCTGGTGATAAAAATTGTTTTCTTTCTAGTTAATCAATTTCATTATAGTGAATTCTAGTTCTGAAAACACCGCAGAATTGAAATCACGTGAACTGTCAGTGTGGTTTGACCAGTGTAGCTTGGAACTATCACTTTCTTGTTCTGAACTGTATACTTCATTAACCCAGCTCAGGATCTCTTTATTTTGGGCAGCTGCATTACCCTATAGACAAGCACAGGGAGCTTGTCTTCAAGCAAAATCAATTTCCCCCACAATTTTGCTCTACTTCTGCAGTTGTATTTTGGAGCCCCCGTGGAGGATATTATATACTTACCTCTGTTCAAGCTCATCTGGTTAGACCTGGCTCATCGTGTCAGTCCATAGGATCACCTGGGAGGCTGACGCTCCTTCAGCCTCTGAGAAACTGGTAAGCATGACCAGGCTTTTCCAACAGATCACTGTGGTGATAGAAATGCTCTGTGCTGTGCAACATGGTAGCTACTAGCCGTGTGTTTCTACTGAGCACTTAAAATGAGGCTAGTGCAACCAAGGAGCTGAATTTTAAATTGTATTGTTAAATGATGGTTATCATTTTAAATTGTATTTCATTTAATTCCTTTGGCTGTTGCTTGTCTGGAAACTTCTCTTTCTCCTTCAAATCTAAGGATGTAGGACCCAAACCAATAAGAAGGAACCAGCCCGACCGGTGTGGCTCAGTGATTGAGTGTCGACCTATGAACCAGGAGGTCACGGTTCGATTCCCGTGGGTTGTGGATTCGATCCCCAGTAGGGGGCGTGCAGGAGGCAGC